AGTTTCCTGTAAGGGGTAGGTTTAGGGGTAGGGTTGGTGTAGGGCAATAGAATATACGGTCTGTACAGTATAAAAACCATTACGCCTATGGGATGTCCCCACTTTTCACAAAAACAAACCTGTGTGTGTGTGTGTGTATATATTTATATATACACGCACACACACACACACACACACACACATATACACACATATATAGACATATACTGTATATATATATATATATATACATATTATATCCTAAAAATATTGCTGTTTCAAAATATAAAATATAAAAATATTGTTGTTCCAAAAAAGGAATAACAGAAAGCAAAAGAATTCAAAAGCAAAACAAAAGAAAAATGTTTCTAAACTCCGAACATGCATATACTTGTAAACATGGTTTCTGCAGCTTAAAATTAATAAAAGGTCTTTATTCACTGCAGAGGTACTTTTGAATTACAGTATGTTTAATAGTACAATGAACTAGTACAGTGTAAAAGATCTCTTGTAAAGGATAACTTGATTCAGTTCCTCGTGATTTGGCCCTCTTCTGTGTTTATCTCTGATCAATAAACATTCATAGTAAACACTTTCCTGAATGCACTGGCTTGCACTGGATCATAGTGCTCTGTGTTGATATTTGTGATGCTATAACACATCTCATTTTGGTGATATTAGCACCACAGATCAGTTTTTTCTCTTTGCTAAGGAAGTGGTCTGACACTATTGGACTTGTGATCCAATCACCTTCTCATCCACACTCTCCCGGAACCCAGTGGCACTGTAATTGGCACCCTCATGCAGGAGAAGCTATTTCAGCTATGGCAAATAGCTTCAAAATAGAGGGATCAAAATAGATTCTAATCTCCTCAGCCAGCCAATGAATCCTCATTGGTTCAAAGAAGCAGAAAAAAAGTAATTCAAGTTGCTATCTGGTTTAGAGGGGCAAAGAGAAATTTCAGAGCGCATGTCAGCCCTGGAGGTAGAGGAGAGGAAAGGATCATGTCGCTCATCATGTCACCAGGAATGAACACTCTTGTAGTCTGGCCACCCTGACAGGGGTATTACCACCGTGACAGACTCTCAGGTCAATGGAGAGTGCTTATCATCATGGCTATTTTATGAACTCTGAACAAAGCCAAGAGCAGGACTAAGTTTGTACAACACCAGGCAAAACATTTCCCATGAGTCAAAACAAAAGATGGCCAGCAGGGTGTAATTTAACTGTCACCTAAAGACACACTGGGCACCGGCAACCAACCAGAACATTATTAGAATGTCTCTCAAAGGTCCTGTGCCACTTCTAAGACCTAGGAATTCCTGTTATGTGTTTCATCAAATGCGATATGATCTACAATCCCTCTGTCTTCTCCGCGAGGAGTAATTACAGAAGAACAGGAGTGTCAGCATTTTTCCAGTTCGTCAACAACAAGCATGAAACAGCGTAATTAAATCCTGGCAAGTACTGTTCATAAACCAGGCATAAATCTCCACAAAAACCTTTAGTGAAGTCAGAAGCCACAGGGCCAATGATCTTGTTGTGCATGTCTCTCCCTCAATAGCTTGTAAATTAAACTAATGTGATGGTTAATCACTGTTACACAGCAAATCCTGATCTATGGTGCTCATTTATGTTGAGTTACCTCTTAATAGGATAGGCATGTTGAGTATTTGATTACAGAGGACAGCACAAATAATAAAACACAGGTTCAGCGGGTCAGATATTAATGAAGTGTCATATTGCACAATAGAATGAAAATCGCTAAAGAAAGAAAGTGATACAAAAAAATCGTTAAAGTGTTGGTAATTGTGTGATTAAGTAATTACAGTGGCAATACATTAAGTTTCAGCCTGCACCACTAGTCAGGACTATATGACTACAGTCGTTAACACTGAATAACCAACAGCTTTGAAACAATATTTATGCACTACCATTCAGACATCTGGGGTCAATCATTTTAGTTTATTTATTTATTTTTTATATAATTTAATACTTTTATTCAGCAAGGATACATTCAATTGATCAAAAGTGACAGTAATAACATTATTAACGTTACAAAAGATTTTTACAGACAGTTCATTTGAAGAATACTGAAAAGATGTACCACAGTCTCCACAAAAATATTAAGCAGCACAACTGTTTTCAACACTGATGATAATAAGAAATGTCTCTTTAACACCAAATCACCATATTAGAATAATTTCTCAATTATCATGTGACACTGAGTTGTAATAATACTATTTTAACTATTTCTAATTGTAATAATACTATTTTAACTATTTTAAATTGTAATAATACTATTTTAACTATTTTAAATTGTAATAATATTTCACAATATTACTATTTTCTGTGTTTTTGATTAATAAATACAGCTTTGGTGAGCAACCACAAACAACCCCAAACTGTAGTGTAATGTATAAAGTATATAAACTATATTGCGATATGGTCCTACTATATTGTGCATCCCTAAACACTTGTGATGATCAATTAGTTATATGAGAGTAAATTAATGCAATAATAGAGAAAGTGAGACTTCAAAATGAGATTTAAGACTAATTCTAAATGAAAAGATGTCCTTTTTATAATTGCTTAGACAAAATGCTGAACATTTCTTTGTCAAATTGAAATGTCAAATAACAAAACTAAATTTACATTTTAAAACAAACCCCAAAACAAATAAATAAATAATACAAATAAAAGAAATCTCTTCATATAAACAAACTAAGGTTTTGCCTGTGCTCTTTCCATTCAGTTAGAGGCAACCACTGTATTTTAATCATGATCCAAACAATGATGCCGCATACATGCTGCATGAGCAGTGTTTAATCTAAATTAGACTGTATAATTTCGAAATTTGAAGCAAAAACAGAATGGTCTGACTTTAACTGTGAAATCATACTACATCTGAACGAGACAGAAACAGCAGACGGGCTGAATGAGAACACTAATTCACTCTTTGACAGCAGGTGGCGCTTATGGAAATGCAGCAATACAGCCAAGATGAAAAAAATAACCTCTAAACTTTTCTAAAGACAGTCAGTT